TCGGAATATTGACGTCGCTGTTGGTGGCGATGATGGGGCAGGCTCGGTACATGTGCGTCATCGGACGGTCCAGAGTGGTCCCCGCCTGGTTCGCCGAGGTCCATCCCAAAACCTCCACTCCCCTCAACGCCTCCGCCTTTCTTGGTAACTCATTTCTTCAACCTTAATTTCTAATATATTATTCTTTCAATATTATGACTTTTTTTTTTCTTTTTCATTTTCTTAATAATATTTAGGCTAAATTATACGAAAATGCCCTTCATATATGTATGTAGTTGATCTGCATTTAGCTGCCTGCCAAATATGAGGTTAGCTCAGTATAATTAGCACTTGTATTGACAAAATGTTATAAATTCGAATCACTTTTTTAAAGCTTTTAGGTTGGACCTTTCGTTGCTGATTTACGTTTGAATATTGGTTGCGGTAAAATTAAGCTTTTGACGTGTTAGGAGTCGGTTTCACTTTTTACTTGACGTTTTAAGAGTTGATAACCGTTAAAGTTCTTTTATTTTACTTATCCAATTAAAAGGTTGGGGTAAGATTGGAAACATTCAAATATTTAGGAAAAAAGTTGAAACAGAAACATAAATTAGGGGCGTTTTGTATTACTTAGCTTCATATTTAAATCTAAACTATATTTTACGTTAAAGGATTGTTCTGTTGACTGTTGAGTTGGGTTTCGTGTGCTCTTTCCTCTTATATTCGTCCGTTACATTACTTTAATAATGTCAAAAAGATTTACACAAAAAATGCAAAGATATTCTTAAAACTTCTGATAAATTAGAATCACAATCAATCAAATATTGGAAAAATACTTCTAATAAGAGTTTGGGAAATGAATTTTGAAGGGGGCCTTGAGAATCTGCTGTTCCAAATGGGAGTGTTTGGATAGGGGGAAAAGAAATCTTTTGGGGCCATGGTTTTGGTAGAAGGAGAAGAAGACCCTTTTTTCTCTCCCCTTTTTTTCCTCCTTAAAAAAAGTATTTAATTTATTACGATAATTATTCAATTAGTGATTTTTTAAACAGGTGGGGCCCACCAGTTGTAGCATGACATCATTGGGAAAGCCCAAGAGAGGAGAGAGAGAGAGAGAGAGAGAGAGAGAGAGAGAGAGAGTTTTGGGGAAGTAAAAACTTGGATTAGTCTGTGATTCATAATGGTTTAGAGAATAAGATATTCTTCTTAAGAGGGTTGAGAGAGTTTAAACTATTGTGAGATAGGACACTTTTGTCTTGGCTTCACGCGCATTTTCTGTGTTTCAAGAAAAAAGCAATGGAATTATATATATAACTTGGGGGTCTTCTTGTTTCAACACCATGGAAAATGAAAGAAAGAGATTTCTCTAACTGTTTTTCTTGCACTTTTCTTGTGTTTGGTTCCAAAGAAAAAAAATATGTGGGTCCCCACCCTCGCTTTCTTGCCTGCAACAATCTTTCTCTAAAATCCCTCCCTCATCTTTTAACCATTGCTTTTTTTCTTTCTAAATCCCCTTTTAACCATGGTTAACTTCTCGGCCTCGGGACGTCCTGCGTCGAGCCCGCCTGAATTGGTCCTTTGTAGAACTTCTTCCCCTTTGATGTTGGTTGTGATTTACCACAGGACAAGCTCTTCATAAATCTTGTGTTTGGTGTTTTGTTTTGTGTCCATATAGCTTGATCAACAGATTAAATGGTGAGGGATGGGTGGTCCAAATTGGATAACTCAAATATAAGATAAATCTCTTTGGTTGGGTCATTTTTGAAAGTGACCTCTAAAGCACTACCATATTTTCAAAGAATCATATAATTTCATTAGTTTCTCCATCAATGCTATCACTTCAGCTCTAATAATTGTTGGGACTCTGAACAAATTGTTGTTTGTTTTGTGCTGTTTGTAGTTAATTTTGTTGGCTTGATGATTCAGGGGTATTCACCGCTGCCATCGCTCTTTTCGCTGACCTCGATGTTCTGCTCAACTTTGTATGCATTGGTACGCTCTTTGTCTTCTACATGGTGGCCAACGCTGTTATTTATCGGCGTTATGTCATGGTAGGAAGGACAGATCCACGACCGACGTTATCATTCCTCTGCTCATTCTCACTCACTGCCATCATATTCACTCTCTTGTGGCATTTTGTAAGTCCAGGGAAGGCCAAAACCGCCTTACTCAGCGTCACTGCCTTCATCGCCATCGCTGTCTCGCTAATCTTCCATTGTGTGGTACCTCAGGCACGAAAGCCCGAATTCTGGGGGGTCCCCTTAATGCCATGGATACCCTGCGCATCAATCTTCCTTAACATATTCTTGTTGGGGTCTCTCGACGGTACATCCTACATACGATTCGTGTTCTTTTCAATCCTCACCGTACTGGTGTACGTGCTGTACAGCGTCCATTCAAGCTCCGATGCAGAAGGAGACGGCTCCCTGTGCATAAAGAACCCCGGGGAGGTTCCAGAATTAGAAAACAGCTTCAAAGTATAGAAATGTAAAAGTTAGTTTCTGTGGACTGTTTCTTTTACTTGACAAATTAATCTTTATTGTATAAAGGAAAAGAAAGTAGAGAAGAAAAAGGAAGTTCTGCAAAAGGGGAAAGATGTAAATAGTTTGGAAGCTGAAATGGGCAGTGTTTTTATTTGGATTGGTTTGTTTCGGATGAGGGAGGGAAGAGACTGTCGAGACCGTCGCAACGTAGTTGATAGTTTTATACTGTTGGATAACTACAACTACAACGGTTATTAGGAACAGTCACATCTCGATCTCGATAATTATTTTTTGAGAGTTTTGAGTTAGAAAAGTGAAAGGGAGGCAAAGTGGGTGGGAGTTTGTTTATAATTGAGAATCCACAGGGTTCACGTTGGTTGGGGACTTTTTACAAACACTAAGAAGGGGGTTAGTAAGCATTTACTAAAAAAGTGTCGAAAAGCAATGCCTATTTTTATGTAAAGGAGAGAGTGGATGTTGACATTGGGCAAGTGTTTACGTACACCCATTTTTGCAATTTTATACTTTGGGTCTAGTTTCTTCTTTTGTCCTTTCCTTTTTTCGGGTTAAATTGATCGTGTTTGCTTTCAGGTTAGTTTCTAAAGTCCTATAATTTAATTAAATCTTACCCGATGCTAACAATTTAGATATTACACGACGTGATTCTTTTAGACATGGTAGTAAGGTGACAAGTTGGACGTTCTAGGATTTGAGTTGAATAAACAATAGAAGCAATCAAAACGAGTTTTTAAATAAAAGAGGAAATGGGTCCGGTCGAAAAAGTTCGTTTTATGTACAACTTAAGAAATTATAAACTTCCGAACTCAAAAGTTTTATCTTTATCATGTCTAAATAGAAGCGTAAAATTATTAGTATCAGACAGTATTTTAGATAGATATTCAAGCCAATTTCACCAAACAATTAGAACAACAAATGGATTCAAACAATACTTTAACCATTTTTAAAGAGGGGGCTAAGATGGAAAAAACAGTGTATAATTTAATTTTGTGTATGTGACAAAACCAAATAAAAAGACAAAGCATAATGGGGCCATGATGTTGGTATCTTGTTTTGGTTCGATATCCCATTTTAATCCTTTTTGTCTGTTGTACTATTCAATTTGCCAATTCAATTTCTCTCTTTTTGTGCATCTAATCACTTTCAAACCTTTCACCCACTCAAATTTGCCTTTAATTAATAATAATATTATTATCTATTTATTTTAATTTTTTCCATCCTCCTCTCTTATCCTTCCACAAACATAATTGGTCAAAATACCAACAATTTTTTAGAGGGAGAGAGAGAAAACCCACAAGATCTTCCCTCAGTGAATCTAATGGCTTTCCCTACTACTTAGCTTCTAATTCACAAGATTCTAATTTAATTGGAGAATTTTGACTTTCACTTTTTGCACGCTTCATAGTTGATGGACGATAGACTTGTGATTGAGTTCTAAGATGCTCGTTGATAATATGTTTATATTCTTTAGGACCATCTTTTCTTATATAATATTTGTACGGTTATTCTACACAAAAATCTTTATCTTTTGATTTAAATAACTGAATTGTTTTATTTTTATTTTTTTAATGCAATTCTTTCATTCTCTATCCAATCATATATTCGTAGTTCTATCAGAAGTATTAAAAATGAGTTTTTAATTGACTCCAATACTTTGGTCTAAAGTTCGTTTCTTTGGCCAGTAAAAAGTTCTTTGATTTTGTTCCGATTCAAATTTTGGTATCCCTTTTGACTTTATAGTTTGAAAACTATAGACTAAGGAATTATTTTGAAGAGTTGTGAAGTGGGTTTATTTAAATTTTAACATATTCCTAAGGGTAAAATTTAGAATATGAAAGTGATTTTAGATCAAGTAGATGAAATTATACTCCAAAAGCACACTGAAAAAAGCTTGATGCTCTGATGCTTAAGTACAAGTGGACTTCAACTGATGGCACCATTGGATTCCAAGTCAGAGAATTAAATAAGGTCATAAAATCACTAATTTCAATAATAATAATAATAATAATAATAATAGACTTTACTTTTTTTTCCTTTAATCTTGCTTTCATCTAAATTTCTATTTGGGAATAATTATCACTCAAATTACAATTTGAATCTGGATTAGGTCATATCATGTCATTGGTAGTAATCACATGATTTTTCTTTTAATATATAGTTTCATTTATGACTTTTTCCAGAAAATACCCGTCGTTTTTTTAACCATTCTTAATCGCAATAGGTTAATATTTCACCATCAATAAAATTAAAACCCGAGTTGTCTTTTCATTTTGTGGGATTGACACGAAATCTCCAATAATGTTGCATCAAAATTCATTTAGAGAAATGAAAGTTAGTAACGTGTAAAAGAATAATTAGCTTTTCTTCTATTTTAATTTAGTCTTTTCTAAGTCCCTTTTAGCGTCATTTTGTCGATTTGATTTAGGGATAAACAAGATTAGATATTTGATTAGCATTTTGCTTGGGCAAAAAAGTAAAAAGAGATACCATTGCTATTGCTTTCACTTTGTTGCTAGTGATTTAGAGAAGAAAGGCTCCTAATACCATTGCTTTAGCATGCCTTTTTGCACTCCTATTAAGTTCACCAAATGGTGTGTGATGTTACATTATAGTTATCCAATGAATTGACATCTTGATGTGCAAAATTATTATATAATATTTTCCAACTAGTATAAATGTACCTTAAATTATGATTAGTGTCCCGAATCTTGTCTGGTCTTTTAAAAGTCATTGTCGGTATACATGTTTAGACCTTTTTAAAAAGGTATCTATATGTGATCTTTCGAAATACATGTCGTTTTTAATTCATAAATTTCACTTGTATCTTTAACCAATGATTTCATTATAGGTAATCCAAAGAAATCCAGGTAACAAGTTTGTCATGACTCTGTTTTTAATTCATAAATTATGTTTATATATTTTTAACCCAAGAAAAATTTTGACATAACAAGTTGTTCCTGTTTTTATACAAGAAAAATACGCCTGACAAATATGTGATCAGGAGTTACATTAAACTCCAAAATCCAAAATCCAACGTCACAAAAGTGATTTAATCTTTCACTATACACATACAAAAGAAGACAAAAAAAAAAAATCCCCTTTTAATTTTTGTTCAAAATATTTTAAGTGGTTTTTTATTTTATTATTATTATTATTATTTTTTAATTTCACTTGTATTTTTAATACGGTTTAATTATAAGGTAATTTAAAGGAATCCAAATAACAAGCTCTATTTTTAATTCATAAATTCGAGTTATATATTTTTAATCAAAGAAAAATTTGAAGTGTAAGCAAGTTGTTGTTATTCTTATACAAGAGAAACGCGTGTGACAAATATGTTATTAGGAGTTACATTAAACTCCAAAATCCAACGTGACAAAAGTGACTTAACCTTCCTCTATACACATATAAAAAGACCGAAAAAAGGGAAAGAGATTCCCCTTTAATTTTTGTTCGAAATATTTGAAGTTTGTATATTTCATTTATATTTTTAATCAATATTCGAATCCAATAACAAATTATCAAAGCTCAATTTATACTTAGATAAATTTCATTTATATACTTTTAACAAAGAGAAATTTAAAGTAACAAATCGTTGTTGTTCTTATACAATTGAAATACGCATGACGAAGATGTGATTAGGATTTACATTAAACTTCAGAATCTAACATCACAAAAGTGACTTAGCCTTTCGGGATACAAAGGGAAAAATAAAAAACAAAAAAAACTTTTCCTTTAATATTTTTTCAAAATATTTTAAGTGATTTTTTTTGGGTAATTTTGTCTATTTGGGCAAACCCTTTTCTCTATGGAGCAAAGTGGGATGTCTTTGTCAAAATGAAGTAGGACCCATGTGAAAATGTTCTCTCTCTCATCACAATGCCCAAAAACCCACTAAAAGCCAATTCAGATTTTTCCCACCACAATTTGCAATCTCTCTTTCTCTGACTTTGTTTTGTTAATGAGAAAAAAATAAAATAAAATAAATAAAAAAAGTACAAGCCAAAAAGTGAAGATGAGGATACCAACATGATGAGAGGAGGCAAAGAAGAAGGTTTTGGATATCTTTTATTTTGGGTTTTTTTTTTTTTTTTTTTCACTTTCGGTTGGATCAAAAGCTTATTGGTGATTTGATCCTTCAACAAAATCATAACCCAACTTGTGAAAAGCACAAATCTAAAAAAAAAAAAATTGTGTGCAAGTGGGGTATGAGAGAATATATGTAGGGAGGAGTATTTGCAAGTGAGATTTGAAAATGAAAATTATAATATATGATATTGCAAATACGAGATTTGGAGATTATAACCTTGAGTGGTGGGAAATGATACTAATACTTTAACCAATTAAGTTACGAGTTTAAAATGGTGAAAACGAAGCTTTTAAATTCAAGAGAGGATTGGATTTGTTATGGGATTTTGGTCACATTTTACTGATGGTCAAAATGTGACGACTTTGATTGTTGATGAAGGATTTGGATCTAGATTTCAATGTCGAATACTTCGACGAATACTTGCACGCACAAGAGATTTACATACCAGCGTGGTACTAAACTCATTACTCTTAGATTCTTTAGTCAGACAAAATGGTATAATTGAGAGTAATAAAGAGTATACGGTGATGAAAAATATCCATAACTCTCCAGGTCTTTCTGACAGAGAAAGTCTCCTCGAATTGGCTCGGGTAGACTAAGTTGAGTCAAGTCTAGTATGATTTGGTAGTTTGGCCTGGTCACTTGACTTAGACGGTTCAAATCACATCACTCATGTGACCTCACTCAGACACACTTGGTACATTTCATCCGTAACATTGATCACAACAACCAACAAATACAAAAATAGTCAACTTGCATAAAACTCGTAGTTAATAGATATAACTTGACAAAAAAAATATGAGTTTGAATCCTCTGTATACTGTTGTACTAAACCAAAGAAAAATAAATAAATAAAAAATATATATATATAAACTTGTATCCTCGGTAAATAGCTCCTCTTTATCTTTTTTTGGGTTTGTTTTTAGTCAATAAAAAATATTAAGGTAGCTCTATTTACATTTTCAGACAAGTTTTATTCATGAAATAAAATTTAAAAAGTTTGTTATTAAATTCGATTGTATTATTATATACAGAAAATGGATAAAAATGATGAATTATCCATCTTCGAATCGAGCTGATTATTAACGATCCATTTCCCTGATCCATTATTAACGATCCATTTCCTCTGATCCAGTAATTATTTTGCAAAGGTTCAGACTGTGGACTCTTTGAAGAGTGCTTATTCTTTTTAAAACCAGAGCAGAAAAAGATTCAAACAACAGTTCTTCATCTACACAGTAATTTGTTGTATCGATAGCTCTGGGGCAGCTGCCTGAGATGTTCTGTTCTTCGGAGCAATTTAATGGGATTTCTCCATGTTCGCAATTTCGCAGCAAATTCAGGAAGAAACAGAGAGAGGCGGCTCTTTTTACTTCTCAGAGTTCGTCTTCGCACCTGCCAATTTTCTGCAGCATCATCATTCATTGTTGAATCTGGGAAAGGAACCTCAGAGGATTTCTACGCTACCCATTTCTCGTATGTGCACGAGCTACTGAAATTATGTGCCGAAAGAAGATTGCCCATACAAGGGAAGGCTTGCCATGCCCAAATTCTGCTTATGGGGTTGCAGAAAGACACTTCAACGTCAAACATTCTTATCAACATGTACTCGAAATGTGGGTTAGTTGACTTTGCCCGCAAGGTGTTTGATGAAATGCCCAACCGAAATTTGGTATCGTGGAGCACCATGATTGGGTCGCTTACACAGAACGGAGAGGAGAATCAGGCTCTTGGTCTTTTGGTTCAGATGAAAAGAGAAGGAATCCCTTTTAGTGAGTTCACCATTTCGAGTGTTCTTTGTGCCTGTGCGGCAAAATGTGCTCTCTATGAATGCCAGCTGCTCCATGCCTTTGCTATTAAGGCCGCGATGAATCTGAATGTTTTTGTTGCAACTGCATTGCTTGATGTTTATGCAAAATGTGGTTTGATGAACGATGCGGCTCGTGTTTTCGAGTCCATGCCTGAGAGGAGTGCTGTCACGTGGAGTTCGATGGCGGCGGGGTACGTGCAGAATGAGCTATATGAGGAAGCTTTGGCATTGTTTCGCAAAGCTCAGGGAATCGGGTTGAGACAGGACCAGTTTTTTATGTCATCTTTGGTTTGTGCTTGTGCTAGATTGGCAGCCATGATTGAAGGGAACCAGGTGAATGCTTTGCTATCTAAATCTGGTTTTTGTTCAAATATTTTTGTTGCTTCTTCTCTTATTGATATGTATGCAAAATGTGGTGGCATTGAGGAAGCTTATAAAGTGTTTCGAGATGTAGAAGAGAGAAATGTTGTTTTGTGGAATGCTATGATATCTGGCCTATCAAGACACGCTCGTTCGCTTGAGGTGATGATTTTATTCGAGAAAATGCAGCAGATGGGCTTGAGTCCAAATGATGTAACTTTTGTTTCTGTCTTGTCTGCTTGTGGTCATATGGGTTTGGTTGAAAAAGGACAGAAATATTTTGACCTGATGATAAAAGAGCATCATTTGTCACCAAATGTCCTTCACTATTCTTGCATGGTGGACACTCTTAGTCGGGCGGGGCAGACCTTCAAGGCTTATGATTTGATGAGTAATATGGCCTTTAATGCCACTGCTTCTATGTGGGGTTCCCTTTTGGCTTCTTGTAGGACCCATGGGAATCTTGAACTTGCTGAGGTTGCTGCAAGAAATTTGTTTGAGATTGAACCACACAATGCGGGAAACTATTTGTTGCTGTCGAACATGTATGCAGCACACGGGAAGTGGGACGAAGTGGCAAAGGCAAGGAAGCTCCTTAAAGAAAGTGATGTGAAGAAAGAGAGGGGCAAGAGTTGGATTGAGATCAAGGACAAGGTTCACTCGTTTATGGTTGGAGAGAGGAATCATCCTAAGATTTCTGAAATTTACTCAAAATTGAATGAGTTGATTGAAGAGTTACAGAAACTTGGTTACAAGGCGGAGACCGAGCACGACCTTCATCAAGTGGGAGAGAGTAGAAAACAAGTACTTCTGAGGCACCACAGCGAGAAGCTTGCTCTTACTATGGGGTTACTGTTTTTATCTCCCAATGCACCTATTAGGATTATGAAAAACCTTAGAATATGTGGAGACTGCCACTCTTTTATGAAGCTTGCATCGAGATTTGTTCGGAGGGATGTCATAGTCAGGGACACCAACCGATTTCACCATTTTAAGAATGGGAGTTGTTCTTGCGGGGATTTTTGGTGAATTCAGATTCTTTTGAAGTGCACCTATTCCTCTTTTAGTTTGTCAAACGTGCAAGTGCAGTAAAAAGCTTTGGAAGTTTAGAGTTTAAACTCTCTCTCCCTAATGTCAACCTCAATGCATTTGATCATCCAAACTCATCCTTGAAGATTGACCCCTGCCACCAGTTTCTTGCTCATAGCACGACGAAATTCTCAGATTGTGGTCCGACATGCTGCGTCGATGGCTCGATATGACCAGCTCTACTAACTTTTATGTACCATCCAGTTTGCAACCCCTACTACAACCACTCGCAAGACCTTCGTAACTAAATTTATTTTTATCATTCAAGCCTTATGTTTAAGCTACTGCAGGATTGATAAGATGTGGAAATGGTGATAAATCCTACAAGATTCTTTCCAGGTAAGTTGATCCCATTTTATAGTTGATTAGTTTCTTTGATATCACAAGCTAGAGTAAGTCGAGTTGCGCCCCAAAGGTTGTGCGGGAGCGTGATTTAATATTTTGGGGGATGCTCTTATCAAAATATTGCTGATTCATGAGGTACGCAATTGGTTTAGCGCCAATTGCTAGATTCTATTACTATCCCAGAAATATAGGAGCCATTCCATAGATTTTGGACTGAATCTTTGAGGTTGTACCGAGCAAAAAATCTTGGTATAAACCAAGAAAACTTGCAACTTAAAAGATACTGTTGTTCTGTTATGAAGAGTGCTTTTTTCATTTTCAGAGCATCTGACTACTTGATCTGCACTGGGTTTTAAGCTCACCAGATCCCACTTTCAGTCAAGACTGGTTGGGGCTCTAGAAAGGAAGAATTTACATCGATCACGATGCGAGCACAAGGACATATTGTCATTTGTAAATGCACTAAGAAGAAGAAATGAAGCCAAGCCAAACTTTTCCGACTATTCCCCATCAAGTACTTGTTGTTCAATATCTTGGCTAGTTCCATCAAGTACTTGTTGTTCAATATCTTGGCTATCAAAAAGTTGAACTAGCAGCTCCTACCCAACCCAAAGTGGATTGATGGAGAAGGGAAGGGCAGGTAGAGCCTCACCTGACTGAGAGAAAGCGAATACGAATAGCACACCTTGTCTAGTATATGTTAGGCTCCGCTTGAAGAGGTGAGTCCAACGTAGAGAAAGACATTACGTGCTAGCTTAGTTAGCTAGCATTTTTCAACTGGTTGTTTTGTTACTTGTAGTGGACATAAAATGTTCGTCCATGAAAATATTACTTCTCTTACACAAAAGTCCTTTAAGTTTCACTTATTTAACTCGACGCATATACGGGAAGCTAGGATATGCATGCTATCGTCTTTCTAATATCCTTCTAATATCCTTGGAAAGATTTGAGAGAAATCATGAAACCAGCCTTCATAGGGAAGATGTTTTAGATCTGCTTCTTATACCAATCTGAAGCATACACGAACATGAACATCAGTATTTGCTTCAACTTTTCTTCAGGTTTTGCTTATTGACTCCCCTTGGACATATTGAAGTAACATCACTATTTGCTTATAATAGGTTAGCAAATACTGATGTTTCTAACTTTAAAATATGTTATTAAATATATTTATTATTTTTAACTATAAGTAAATATTTAACGTGACAACAGCAAGTTTAAAATTGATTGATATGACGTTAAAATAATTTGAAAAAAACTTATATACTTTAATTCAATGAAAGATACGTATCCACCCACAAAATTAAAAAATCTTCCATAACATATTGTGTAATATCTTACCTTTTTTACCAAGTCCAAAACTGATTGAAAATAGATAAATTAAGAACGATATTATATAGGTAACCAACAATTTTATTAATTTGTTTTTAAATTCACAATGACAATTACAGACTTAAATTTTAAAAAAGTTTGGCTATATATATATTTTGAATGTTTTTTTTCCTTCAATTTAGTCCAATTATTTAAAAAGTTTCAATTTAGTCATTTATATTTTAAAAGTTATTTCTTTTTTAATAAAATACTATTGACGAATATGAAAATGAGTTAGTGATAAACTTATATAACATAATAGTTTATGAATTGGTGAAAATTTAAAGAAAGAAAATATCATCTGATAAACACAACACACAACATGGACTAAAACACTTATTTAACCCAAATTTTAAATGCATAAAAGATGAAATTAAATACTTAAATAAAAGAAATTAAATCTTTAAAAAGATTTAAAGATAAATTAAAAGACAGCATAGTTAAGATTTTTTTTTAGTACGACGTAATTAAGAATTAAATTATATATTTAGTCTTTTTTTCCCTTTTCCTATATAAATGTAAATCGTAAATAAAGAAAGAGGTAGCACTAAAAATATGTATATAAAGAAAGAAAGAAAGAAAGAAAGAAAGAGGGAAAGAATAAAATGAACTGTGAACCGTTAGATGCAAATCAGAGTTCAAGAGTGATGAGGTGGCGGAATCCGAACGGAGGAATATATTAAAACCTCATATAAATGACCACACAGAATCATTCCTCCATTGGCAAGAAACCCTAAGTAACCCTTCTCTTATATCTCCGTCTCTCATATTAGGTTTTTCTCTCAAGTCGCAGCGGCAGCAAACTCGCGCTCTCTGGTACTTCACAACCCTCTCGTCTTCCCTTCAGGTGAGTTCTTCTAATTAGGGTCTCTTAATTTTCTTGTTGATCGGCCGTGTTATGTAATGGTATGATCATTTCAATGTCGAGTTTCAGTTATGGAGTTTGTTAGACTCTATTTTGTATTTCCACAGGCTTTTTCGGCCAATTAAATAGATGATTGATTGATTGATTGATTTTACCTCTTGCCCTTTGTACCGTTTTCGATCATTTGTCGAGGGGTTTTATTAATCTGTTTAGTGGTTGATGAATAAGAGAAGTCTCTGTCGTGTATTGTTTGTGAAGATCGGTCACTTGTAAGCTTGTAGCTACCTGATATCGAATATACATTTTCGAAATATATACATATGCATACGCGCACAATATTTTCTTCGAGACATAGGGTTGAATAACCGGTGATTTTAATTTAATGATAATGCGGGAAGAATGAAAAGGAAAAGTTAGGGCTATTTTAGTTGTTGTGTATGGGAAAGCACCTTCCAGATTCAAAGGGTTTTGAACTGAGTGGATTGGTTTGGATAGTTTCTATGATCTTGTTTGACACAGTCATGTCTCTTCCTTGGTTGCTATGCTAAAGTGGTGTAATTTAGGTTAGGTTGTTTTTTCTCATTCTTTTTTTTTTTCAGGTAAGTTTCGGTAGAAAATGGGTCGTGTTCGCACGAAGACTGTGAAGAAATCTTCACGCCAGGTGATTGAGAGGTACTACTCTCGAATGACTCTGGATTTCCACACAAACAAGAAGATCTTGGAAGAGGTTGCCATCATCCCCTCAAAGAGGCTGCGGAACAAGATTGCTGGTTTCTCAACCCACTTGATGAAGAGAATTCAGAAGGGTCCAGTCAGGGGCATCTCATTGAAGCTGCAAGAAGAAGAGCGTGAGCGTCGTATGGACTTCGTGCCAGATGAATCAGCTATTAAGATTGACGAAATTAAGGTTGACAAGGAGACACTTGATATGCTTGCTGCTTTTGGCATGTCAGACATTCCTGGACTTGTTGAGGTTGAGCCACAGGCTATGATTCCACCCCAAGCTTTCGGCAGGGGTGCAGTTGGCCCAAGGAGATACTAAGGTAGTCGAGACTACGCATCGTATGGCCATGGTTGTTGGTAGTTATTTTCAGTTTATTAATTAAATGTGGTACTTTTCTTGTTAGTTTCAATTTTGAATGGATGTTTAAATCATTTTGGACATGGATAGTTATACCTTTGTTCCAAGTGTTGGAGATCTCTGAAGTTGAATGGTTTTGCTATTAGTCAAATTTCATAACTTCGAATGCAGTTTTCTGAGTTTGCCCTGTTATGAGTGATATCTTTTGATGAACCATTTGGATGATGATTATCCAAATGGTATTGGTCTTAGTGTGCCATTTACCATATTATCCCAAGCAAATGGCTGTATTTACTTTTGAATCATAGTAATATATACATTGAGTTGCTTTCAAGGGGCACCTTTCTGTCAGTATGACCTAGACGTCTTAGGTTCGAGCCTTGTGGTGAGTGTGGGCCTCGATAGCTATTTGCTCTGACTCCCAATTATGAAAAAACAAGAATTATGTACAATGAGTTACTATGATCTAGGCTTAATCTTATTAATTTTGAACCTTCAAAGTTATTTTAGATTTGGTTCTATTTGGAACTTCAGGAGAATTTTAAAATTGTGTTGCATAGGTTTTGATATTATGATGCTTTTATTCAGGACTATATATAAGAACCAGAGTGAATGTAGGAAGGTGGGTCGGGTTGGGCTCGCCTAGTAATTTTATGAGAAATTTCACCACAATCATGATTCTTTTCTAAATGATGTTTTGCTTTTAACTAGGTTAATTTTAAAAATTATTTTTCACTACAATATTATTTCTTTGAATATTTGGAACTTGAGATATATATTTAATTGAATAATAAAAGACATGGTTGTGAAATTGTAATTGAATGAGGCCAAGATTAGTGTTGCTGTAACTGATTAATCTTGTAAGGTTTTGAATTCTGATTTGTGTTTCCTGATACCTAATGTTTGATTGTCTATGATAATAAAAGAAAGGTATGATTGTAATGTAATCAAAAGGTATGATTGTAATTTTTTTAATAATATAGTTTGAGTTCATTTGTTAATACACTATTTTACCATTTAAATGTAATAAAAACAACCATTTTTGTTGGTTGTTACAAAAAAATTCCGACTATTAAGCTATAACTTTAAAAAAGTATTTTTTTATTCGTTTAATTTGTCTTTATTGTTATTATTTTAAAAAGTAATTGGGCAAACTAATGTCAATCCAATTAAAATCTCAAGAACATAGCTTAAAGTAACCCTTTCGGATGTTGAAAAAAAAGCAACCTTTCGTGAGGTTATGAATTCAAATTTTCAGCTCATTAATAAAAGATAAAAAGAAAAATAAAGTTAATCAAAATTGATAAAAGATACTAGGAACAATTTGATTGATCAAATAATTTCACTCACACATAGATTAAATTAAGTTGGTTGGAGTTGTTTTCCCTTTTATTTTGAGATAACCTATAGAAAAACTTATTTTAAATTTAATTATCAATAAACTTGTTTGTTTTTTATAATAGTTAAATGTAAATAATAAAAGACTTCGAGGGAATGAGTTCAAACCATGGTGGTCACCTACCTAAGATTTAATATCCTACGACTTTCCTTGTCAACCAAATGTAATAAGGGTCAGTCGGTTGATCCGTGAATAGTCGAGATGCGCGCGAATATAAAAAAAAAAAGTTAAATGAGAAGTTTATGTGACTGTTTGAGAAGTATATTAAAAGAACAAGTAATTCTAGTTTTGGTCCAACTTAAATGATGCAAAATGTAACTTCGTCTTTATAGATATATTTCATTTTATCCAATTGTTTTTAATAAATTATCAAAACAAAGATATTATATTCATCTTAATTGTTCAAATAAATAACCAAATCTTTGCTCTCAACTCATCGATATTATCTTTATTATAAAAAGCACAATATTAAGCGATATCTTTTGCATGAAAATTACGTTGAACCAATATGACGATATAGTAATAGTTATTTTATTTATGCTCTTAATTGTCTTTCAATGTAATGCACGTTTTTTTTTTTGATACAATGTAATGCACGTTGATACTCAGAAAAATGATGGCTCTAAATTATTGTATTGTTTTGGCATGAGAAATTTGGCTGAAAATATAAAAGAGACACTTTTTTTTCGTACTTGAAGAAAAAAGAGTGTCATTTAGCATTTATCGATTTTATTAATCACAAATTTCCGGATCCCAATCTGGGGTTTGCGGCGAAATGGGTACTTTTAGCGGCAATCTCAACACTGTCCTCTTTCCCACTCTCTCCTTCCATTTTGCTCATCAAATTGCCTGCAATCGCTCTGGAAACGAAAATGGAAGTGGAGAAATCCATGAAAGGAACAATCGGATTGTCTTTTATTCCGATTTCTGCCAATGGGTTCGCGATTCTTTTACCCATAGATTATCTCTATGAATTCTGGGTCATCGGCGTATATGGCTTATCGACGGCAGTCAAGTCGGCGAGGAGGGGAGGGCTATGGTGCTATGGCCGGCGACCTCTTGATTGCGTTTTGTAGACGATCAGGAAGGTACTGCCCCTTGAAAACATCGTTTCTTTTGATCATGAGTATATATTTTTTTGGAGTAACTTTTTGATCATGAGTATGGTAATATTTGGATTCTGGAGTTTGTCTTAATGTTGCTGAACTTTTGGGTGAGAGATATGAACTTATGGAATCGTGGGTGGAGGATTATTAGAATAGAACAGTTGGATTCAAGCTATTGATTTGATTAAAGCTTTTGATGACTAGAGTTTAGCGAGATGTTAATGCTGGTTTTGTTGTTTTTAAGAGCTCCAAGAATGTTAGAGACCCACCTTAATTGACAATTATTCTATTAGGTTCTCTTATGAATAACTTTAAAACATGTAACCTCGATTATAGCTTCTGGAGAATGCAAATAGGTGGGTGGTTTGAATCTTTGATTATGTAATCTTTTTTGGAACGACATTAAAGTTTTACCTTCCTGCTGCCAGATCTAAAAGCATGAATGTAAATCATAGGGGTCAGAGAAAAGGAAAAGGAAAGAAGGATAATGCAACTTTTGAATGTACATGAGAAAGTTAAGATTCAAATAGCCGCTAGTAAGCTATTAGTTCATACAAATACGGGTGATGGGAACCTTCATTTGACTTTTGGGGTAAATGCTAAATTAAGATGATTAAATAATATTTACCTTTTGGCTCCAATCGATATCTTTTTTTAATGATGACATGTGGGGAAGATTTGTAATGTCTTGAGGATTATTACTGGTTTTGAGACAGAGAGTAGGCATATGCCATAAATGAAGGCTTGAAACAATATGTAGAAAGTGAATGGAAGTTCAAGATCATTTAGCCTTCAGTCAACTCATATGTTATGGAGTACAAAAGCGATGGTGCCTATCATCCCCAGCTATAGATATATGACACTTATATAATGGACTCCATAGCTTGACAAACAAATTATATAAACTTAAAAATTATTTGTGGAGTTACTGATGACATTATATTTAATGTGTTAGCATCTACTACATGGTGTTTCACCTGTTACAAATTTAGTACAGAAAATAACATATCTTGTCATTAACAACTTTTATGTATATTGTATATATGTACATGTTAGCATCTACTATGTAGCCTCTCATCCTCTTCAAAATCAATGGTTCTTTAAAACACTCATTAAGATTCAAGAAGTTTTAAGATGTAGGATTTAATTTCTTGATTCAACTTAATGTAAAATTTAGTGTTGTGTGATTCAGTTCTTAAGTTTTGTTGATAATGAATGTAAACATGATGTTGTATAGCATTGCTTTTTCATGTTATGAACTTGTGATACACAAACGGATATCAAGAGATGGGCATAACTGAGTATAGAATAACCCAAATGCTAGTTAGTTTCTAACTTTGATTTTTAATATGGAATATATTTGCATTATGAAACTTGTACTTTGTATTACTTAAATAATTGCTATTGTCAGGATATTATTGAGTATTTTACGTGTAGTATCAGAACTTTTACTAATTATCCATCATAATAACTGGAAGTTGGATATTGAACTCGGTTAACCTTTATCCAAACAATCAGACTGGCTAATTACAAGAAAATGATGGGTCCTAAATATGCTTTAATCTCGTGACTTTAGTTGACATCTGCATGTGATCTATCTAGGTTTGAATTTATAATCATGAAACATTGAATCAATAGGTTGGCTTAGTGGTCATTGGGGCAAATGAACAAAGTAAAGAACTTTGGGATATAGGTTCAAACCCATGGTCACCTTTCAAAGATATTAAATTTCTACCAGTTTTCTAATAGTCAAATATTTTAGGGTTAGGATCGCGTTGGGAAATTAGTTGAGGTATGCATAAACTGGCTTAAAAACTCGTGTAATCAGAAAAAAATCTATGAAGTCTCAGGCCTGGGAAATTTATCCGTTCTAAGGGAATGATCCAAACTACCTTAAATTATATTATTTCTCAATGCTGCCCAGTGCTTATTGAGCAATACTAAAGACAATTCTGAGATTTAATATTCAAGAAATGAATGTATCTTTCTAGGACATACATACGGTGATATGGCTGTCGTCATTTTTTTTTGGCCATGATTGTTGATATTATTCTTATTACTATCAATTTCTTTTATTCGGTTTCTATTTTATTCTGGGTGCTTCGGTAAAGTCATTTTACTTTCCTTTTTTTTTTTGGTTGAATTTTGAAGATATGTTTTCCTAATCAAGTTTTTCTTTCTAAGGTTTTCTCTCTGTTATTATGAAGCCGAACAAGGAAAAACCTAGATGAAGAACTTCTCTTCTTGGTAACAATCTTATCTCTATTGTTTTGTGCTTCAAGAGGTTAAGTAGCATTCACTACTAGAAGACAAAGCTATTAATTATAATTCTACCAAACAATAATGGCACCAGATTGGCTCCTATATTTGCACCAAAGGAATCACTTCTTTTTTGTACATAGTTTAAATGGTGCAACGGTTACTAAAATCTTCATGCCATTAACCTTGTGGATTTCATTGAAGTACTAAATTACAGAATCTGTTGAAGCATTTTCCTAAAAACGGCTTGTTATACTTCTACTTCCATTCATTAGTCTCCTTCTCCTTTTGGTTTTACCTTTAGTATCTTGAGTTTAACAAATATACTGTAACAGTGTAATTGTTGGTTGATAAATTCTGGAGAATCATATATTTGGCTGCAAGATTTTCAGTTTGATTCTTATTTAAATTCATAGTTATAAATAGTTTAGATTAGATTTAAGTTTTTTCTTGACATCTGATATCAATTGAATTAGAAGCGAAGTACTAAATAAAGCTCCTGACTGTTTATGCTTACTACAATGTGTGATCTTTCTCTCTCTTGTTTACTTGTATTAATTGAACTTTACTTCTATTAATGTTCTTGCCAGGACTTCAAACATAAAGAAGCCTTAGTTTCCATATTGTGTATTGAAATTTATTATCTATACCACTTCACTCTTATGCATACAAATGATGGGTAGAGATTTATCCTTCTCAAACGGAACAAATAAATATTCCAAATGTTCCCACGCATAAATGCTCCTGCTAATCTTTTAATACATACCATATCATGTATAGTTGCTTCTGTTCATCATATTGCCATCATTTTTATTATTTCCATGTTATTGCTTTTGTTATCGAATATTTAAGTTTTATATTTTACAAACTTTTGTATAGGCAGCATCTATATTACTAATATTATAATTGTTTAGAAATTTAATTTATTGTTCTAACGTTTCGTTTGTTAGCATCTCGACTTCGAGAAAAACTTAAATGATAGCTTCTTTTCTTGGTAATCAATTTCATCTATTTTGGAATGCTCTTAAAGAGGCTAACTTCCATCTACTTGTACAACTCAGAGTGTTTAATTTCAGTAATCAAAATCGACTTAGTGGTAATGGTAACAGATATTCCGACTTTTACATTTTATAAATTTCTATTATCACTTTATTCTCTAACATTGTAACGGTTACTAAATTCGACGTGACTATCCACGCAGGCTTGCATTTTAAAATTAATTGTGCAGACTCTGTTTAACACTTACCTAAATACAGCTTAACCGTGACGGTTCGCTTTCCTCTCCCAACATTTAAGACCTCGACAATTTTTTTTTTTTATGAAACCATATCTCCAGTGTACAGATTTCAGTTGAGCATCTATGTATACTGGTACCGATCTGCATCTAAGCATTGATTTTACTATAAGTTCTTCTGTTTTTATTTTCAAAATTGCACAATCTTACATTTTGAATTGATTCAATTAATTTTTTAAGGCAAGTTCTAGATCCGACTTCACCTTATGAATCAGTGTACTGAAAAAACCACACTCCTTTTATATAAATTGAGGAAATTTGTGGAAACTAGTAGTCACCTCTCTTGTTTCTGCTATGGCTTCAATACCTCAGGAAACCACTAAATATCTGGTGCATGCTACTGGTGACACAGAAAGCCTTGTTCATAGCCTCGAGGAGTTCTACTCAAGCGTGGATCAACTCAATCAAGACTTTGACAAATCTCTCATTCTTAAAAGTTTGTTGGCTTATTCGTCCCCAGTTGAATTAATCGAGAGTTCGAATCTGACCATGAAGCAGTCAGGAGTTCCTGATAAGGTATAATTCTTCTCCAACTTGTAAAGATCATAATCTGTGTTTTAGATTTTTTCCCTAAATGATTTTGGTAGTCTTGTTTTGATCTTTATTTTTTTTCCCTTTCCAAGAAGATTAGGATCTCTTTCCTTTCCCCACATAAATTTTTTTGCCTATTAAGGAAAAATCTAGACATGATCTAGGCATATTTGGGTGAATGCTAATATGTTTCTTATTTCTTGTGGGGTGTGGGGTGGTTCTTGGAAGAAATTCCAAAAGAAGGAAACTAAAAGAAGGTATGCTGTGGAAATGGGAATGACTCCTAATGAAAACGATGCATATTTGGATCTCAAACTGTCACCTCCAGGGCTCTACTTAAGAGGTAAATCGTCTGATGAATCAAAATCTTCATCCCCAAGATCTCAAGACTCGTGCGTGTCTGCGGAGGTCGAGTCAATTGCCAACTCGGAGAATAACCTTCGAGTCGAAGGTTCATCGTTGATTGCAATGGGATGTACTTTTTGCCTGATTTACGTGATGGTGACGGATGCAGATCCCAGATGCCCTAAATGCAAAAATCCTGGCTTGCTGGACATTTTCCGTGGAAATCAGGCAAAGAGATCTAGAAAGAACTAGTTTTCTCTCAAGAAGCTAACATGGTGGATGGCTTCTAATTGTTCCAGTATGCTCTGAACTGATCCACCCTCTGCTTTTTTTCTTAGTGTTCTAAACTGTCTTCCTTGCTGCTGATTCTGCTGCTGCATGCACCATCTTTTTACTTAGAGAGTCAGAATAGTTATCTTCAATAAACATTATAGTTTATGCTTCTGGTTTGCTCTGTAGTTTTTCCTGCCTGTCTTGCCCTTCTATTGAGAAGACAAATTTCTTTTGGTCTTCATCAAAACAGGTTTTTATATAACATATTAGTTACAGTGAGCCAGTTCTTAAAGATAGTTAAAATTTTCCTTTCTTTAGGCAAATCACAGGGAGTTTGTTTCTTTTTCTGTGCATTCACTCTGTTGAAGACCTTTTTCTGTGCATTTTGTTGTTGTTAAAAGAATAGGATGGGAAGAGAAAACTGTGGTTGTTTTGGTGGCTTGTCTGGGCGGTAAGACAAGGCACGGTGAATCGTCTTTCCCGAGTTCAAATCCGGGGTGCTGTGACCCTCTAATCGCCCCAAGCTCATAAACTAGTACATCATTCAGAAGAACAAAGAATTCAATAATTTACTGGGTGAGCCTGTGCTGGGTATCTGTCTTCACCTTTTTACCATATATATATGCTTGTTTTGAGGAATTTTGAGAAGTTACAAACATAGTATTGTAACTCTAGATCTCGACATTTGATTTTTATTTGTTTATTTTCCTTCGAATGAGGGGCGGGGTTAAAAGTATTCTTAAGGAGGAGTAAAATCTTACCTTCTAACTTTATATGTATATAGTATTTCAATTCTAAAAATTTAGGCGACAAATTATGGAGGAAATTTTTCAATCTTAATTTTTTAAACCTGAGACGAATTAGCAGAGGGTAATTGTGTGCCCCTTGTTTCTTCTTCGCTCTGCCCCTACTTCCAAGTATATGAATACTGGGTAAGTAAATGTACACATAAGGAATTATGAAAATGAATTAATGTGGCTTGTTCTGTAACTAATTGTCCACTTAATAATGGTTTATAACATTAAATCAATATTTGACTACTGTTTTGCCCATAATTACAGGTTAATTGGTGATTAACAGAAGGTACAAAATATCATTTATGTAATTGTCCACTTAATAAGAAGTTAATTAGATCTTCATTTCAAGAAGAAAATCTATTTTCTTTTGATGGTAGTTTTATATTAAAGTCAAATGGGTCCCTTTTGGGTTCAATTTGTGAGTAAATTGAAAAGAAAAATGATGGATTATTTATTAATCCACCTCAAAATCTTCGGGATATAGCAAAATAGGTCAGAATAGATTGAAATGGCTTTAAGTTCCAATATTTAATGAGGAGTGTAATGTATAAAAATACTAAATTATAGGGATGTAAAAATATTAAAAAAAAAAACAGAAACAAAATAAGGTTAAGAAAAAGAAAATTAAAAACTAAGATTAAAAAGGCAACACTGTTGGTTCATAATTGGTTTAATGTATGAAGAGAAGTGCACGATTATTAAAATGAAAATATTCTTCATGTTGGTTAATTTGTATTTTTAAAACAAATTTTTTTGATATGTTTTTTTAGTACGAAGTAGAGATTCAAACCCACAATTTTTCGAAAGAGGATAGATGTTTTAACCTATTGAATTATGCTTACCTTCGATATGTTTGATTGATGCATGTATTTGAACCAGTTGATTTTAATTGAATCGTCCACATTATTTAATTCTAAAATTATATATATAATAAACTTAAATTTTTGTATTAGAGGATATGTGGACATTAGAATAAAAATGATAATTAAAATTTTGTTTATAATTAGGGGATGTCCAAACCCACTCATATTTCTTAAGAAAAAAGAGAGAAATATGATAGAGATGAAGATTAAGAATCTCCCTAAGGTTGAAGACAAAAAGAAGACATCTCTAACTTTGGTCACATTTTGTTGTTATTCGTTCTCTTAAGATGATTAGGTATTATAATCATTGGTCGATCTAGTTTTTTAATTCTCGAATTAAGGCTTAATAATCACATTTAGGTCGCCATTAAAAAGGGTCAACTAAGCATGTGCAACCACATAGGAGCTCATATTTTATATCCCATAAAACTTGGTTGGTAGGGGACAATAGGCCTTATAATAAATACTTAGAAAATGATCAACAAATTAAGGGCATGATTTGAAACATAAAGATCTTTTATTTCAAATGCCATAAGATTTTTCATCAATTCTTTTTTTGGGAAGTTGATATTCCTCATTTATTATTTTATGAGCCATTCATTAGCATATATGAATCTTTAGAAAATTCAATGAACTTTTTTGGTAGCTTTCCTATGCATATTAAAAATTAGGTTCAATCATTCCCAAAAATGTATATATTATTCTTATGCTTTAGAGACATTAATGTGTCTTGATTGACATGACGCTCGTTCAGTCAATATATTTTTAACGTCCATTAGAAAAATCATCTAGATTTATAGATTAAAATACGAGAATGACAAAAATGTGAAAGTACAAGAGTGAAAAGTAAAAATTACATAAACAAACATAATCGAGCATGCTGACTCAACTGCACTGTGTCAATTTAGCCAAATTTTATATAACAAATATATTTCTTCATTGTTTCGTCAATTTTGGACTAAAAAATATTAACGATATTCATGTATCTTCTACTGACCACCGTTAAAAAATTGACAACTAAAATAGATGTATACATAAAGAAAGAGAGAAGAAAATAAAGATAAATAGCATGATGATTTTTTAACATGGTGAGTAAAGAAGATAGTTATTCATGAATAAATACCTAAATATTATTTAAATAATACCGGAATTTTATTTATTTAATTTTTTTTATAAGAAGTATTTTTCATGTGCTACTATATATACTATATATAGAGCAGAGAAGGAAGCAGAGTTGGGAGTTGCAGAGGGAGGGTTTTCAATTTCCATAGAACAAATGGGGAAGAAGATGAAGTTTCTTCCTTCTTTTTTCAAGAGTAGAGAATCACCGGAGCGGCCATGGCAATGGCCGATATGCGGAAACTCCAGAACTCCTTCCTTCAGAGCCGCTGGCGATGAGATTTTCAAGACGGTAAACTCCGTCTTCTTCGACAATCTTCTTTCCGATCCGATCCAATTCCAAACGCCTGACTCTTGGTTTACGAATTCCTCGATCTTCGACTCCGACGACGAGTTCGAGGTTGTGGTGCGAGGCGCGAAATCAGAGAGGCTGATCTTCGAGCCTGGCGAGACGGATTCGATTTTGCAGAAATCGACGGACGGAGGAGATCACCGCGAGGCGATTCGATTCGAAGGAAGCGTGGTTCTGGCGATGGAATCAGAGGATCCGTACCTGGATTTCCGAAGATCCATGGAGGAGATGGTGGAGAGTCATGGAATTAGAGATTGGGAGTGTTTGGAAGCGCTGCTGAATTGGTACTTGAGAGTGAATCGGACCAAGAATCATGGATACATTTTAGGTGCTTTTGTCGATTTGCTGGTTGATCTCGGCGGCGACGGCGGCGGCGATGGCGCTTCTACGGATTCCACTTCCATTTTTTCCGATGAATTGGTCATTGAGACTTCTCCATCATCGATTGCGTAAATTAAACCTTGGTTATTGAAGCAGCGGCGGAATCGCGTCTGAAAGATGCGATTATTTTGTGAATATATAATAATATATATTTTTTGTTCCATTTGAAATTTATTTTTATTATTAGATCAAAAAAAGAAACAATAATAATAATTCCCATTAATCTATAGACAAAAACTTAAAATTATGAGTATTATCCGGTAATTATCCAATTATCCATAGTTTATAATGTAATATTAAACATTTATTTAAAATTTTACCATTATCACACCGTTCAACATGAACATCTATTTCAATAAAATAAAATAAAAAAAGAAAAAAAAAACATGAACACGATACAAGGGTTAAAAGTACTTGAAATTTTTACTTCTAGTCTACTACCAACATTTTACCATCTTTAAAGTTAAAATTTTGGGAAGATTACATTTGTCAAACTGAAAATAATAATAATAAATCACGGTGCTCTCAGTCTCAGCATTTTGGAGGTTCATGATCATCAACTAAGCCCAAAAAGAAACAGGGCTCAGGAAATTTGGGCTGAAGCCCAAAAATTATTTAAAAATGAGATCGGCCCATATGAAGGCTGGGCCCGTATATGTTGCAACGGACTATTTGGGCTGGACTGGAGATAGGGTTGAATCATTATGGGCTTCCGACGTTGGATCAGAAAAGTTGTTGCCTATATATAATATATAGATACCCTTTGCAGAAAGATGTATAGATACCTTTCCAATTATACCCTCATAAAAAAAAAAAAGGTAAAAAGATACATATAGATACCTTTCCAATTATATCCTCACAAAAAAAAAGTTAAATAAAATTGTTGGGTCTATTTAATTTTATAATTTTACAAAATCTTAATTTTGTCATTCACTTATTCTAATAAGTCACACTGACGAGCAATGATGTGATATAAAAGAATATGTCAACTAGATAAATATAAAGACAGATATACCAAAAGATTTATTGGGAGCAAAAGAATTCACTTATTCTAATAAGTCACACTGACGAGTGATGATGTGACATAAAAAAATATGTCAACTAGATAAATATAAAGGCAGATATACCAAAAGATTTATTTGGAGTAAAAGAATATATTTTTCATGATGAAAATATATTTGTTTAGGATGATGATTTAGTTGATCATCCTACTCTTTCCTTCTATCCAGTAACTAGGGGTTAAAATCTCTTTGATAGTTTATAGAAGTTAGTGTAAATTATGACAAGTCACTCATGATTTATAGAGCCTGTTATTGTACCAATGTCTATATTCCATCCTAAGAATAAAGTTGATCCATTATATTACTATGACTAGTTGAGCGTAGTGATTGCTGCCTTGTGTTTAAGGGCATATTGAAGCTTTCAATGTTTTGTATAAAAGTAAGTACCTCATTAGCATTATGCAACAACACGAAAAGAACTCGAAATACTAAAATACTCAAAGAAATAACTTTTGAAATCATTTCAATATGTTGTAAAAAACAAACCGATATATACAAATATAATTAAAGATGTAAGAGCTTCACAAATACATAATCTTGATTTATAAGAAAGATAGTTGTCAAAATCAACAGCCTCCAATTTGAAATCAAAGAAAAGAGAGCCTTAAAAGAATAAAGACAACTTTATGGGATGGATGAAAGAGTGAGAAGAATGTTTTGTTTCCATTCCATATGGATTGCCGATGTAAATGGTTTTTTTTTTTCTTTTTCTTTCACTTTTTCTTTTTCTTTTTCATTGATATTGTTGTGATCTATTTTGCAATCAATCCTAAAAAGGGCACAAAATGAAAATATTATTCCCATTTCTTTAAGAAGAAAAGAGAAAGAGGAGGCAAGCTCCACAGTTCCCAATCACTTCAAATGGACAGATAGTCCTACTTCTCTTTTCACTTTAAGCCCTTTATAAATTATAATTGCCAGAATTGCCCTCCCTCTCTCTCTCTTTTTCTTTTTTCAAACTTTTTCTTTTCTCTCATTTGTCTTTGATCTTATTCTTAACAAAAGTTTAAGCCTCCTACTTTTGATTATCCTCATACTTTGTTTTGTGAGAGAGAAAGTTTTGCATTATCACATGCAAACCACTTTTGTTTTTGTGTTTTTTTACCCTTCACCCCCACATCTTATTAAAGCCAACAATTTTCCCTCACTAACAAGAAAGGCACAAACATACTCTCCTATATTACTCAACAACCCTCTCTTCATCTTCATCCTTCAAATATAACCTCTTCTTTTTCTTATAACTGCTATATCTCTCGTGTCTTGCTTGTCTGTATAAGAGTACGAGTAGAAAAGAGAGAGAGGGAAACAAGTTCAAACCAAGGAGAGGAGAAGAGAGAAAGAGAGAAGATTTACGAAGATGAGAGCTGGAATTTGTACTATACAGCTCCAGGCTCTGAGCATTGAGGCTGAAGCCACGGTGAAGCAAGCGGTTGGCCTCGCACGGCGACGAGGCCACGCCCATGTCACCCCGCTCCATGTGGCTAGTGCCATGCTCGCTTCCTCCTCCGGCCTTCTTCGGAGAGCTTGCCTCCATTGCCACTCCCACCCTCTGCAATGCAAAGCTCTCGAGCTTTGCTTCAACGTCGCCCTCAACCGTCTCCCGACGTTGACGCCAAGCCCGCTTTTCGGGCCACAGTATCCAAACCCTTGCCTTTCCAACGCATTGGTTGCCGCCTTCAAGCGGGCCCAGGCGCACCAACGCCGCGGCTCGATTGAGAACCCGCAGCAGCAACAGCAACAACAGCCCATTCTAGCTTTGAAAATTGAGTTGGAGCAGCTCATCATCTCCATCTTAGATGACCCAAGCGTTAGCAGAGTGATGAGAGAAGCTGGTTTCTCAAGCACACAAGTCAAAAACAGGGTGGAGAAAGCTGTTTCCTTGGAGGTTTGTGAGACTTCATTTAATGCAATCAATTACACAATAATCAAAAAAGTATGTTTCCCAACCCACAATTATATTTCTCACAACAACAATCACTAACACATAATTTTCCCCCTTGTTCATTACAGGAGTGCAACAATGATAGACAATACTTTTATGACAAAAAGTGGAACTTCCTACCCACCAACACTCCATTAATCCACAAGCCTCACTTTCAAGATTCCAAATTAGAAACCACCAAATCCCCAAATCTTGGCCTTTTCAGCCATTTTGGACTCATGTCTCCCACCACAAAACTGTTTGACAATGTCCCCAATGAAGAAGATGTAACAAGTGTTCTTGAAGAGCTATCAAACAGAACCCAAAGAAGAAGCAGCAACACAGTGATTGTAGGGGAGAATTTAGGCACAGCTGAAGCTGTGGTTAGAGGAGTAATGGAGAAATTTGAAAAGGGAGATGTTCCAAAAGAGCTGAGACATGTGGAATTCCTAAGCCTTCCTCTGTTCTCCTTGAGGAGCCTCTCAAAGGAGGAGATTGAGCAGAAGCTTTTGGAGCTGAGATGCATAGTAAAAAGCAGCCTGGGCAAAAGGGTCATTTTCTATTTGGGAGATCTCAAATGGGTGTCTGAGTTTTGGTCAAATTATGGAGAGCAGAGGAGCCATTACAGCCCTGTGGAGCAGATAATAATGGAGATCAAGAGAATGTTATTCCATGGAAATGGTGAAATCTATGGAAGATTTTGGGTTCTGGGAATTGCAACTTTTCAGATTTATATGAGATGTAAAGCTGGCCATCCTTCTTTGGAGTCACTTTGGTCACTTCATCCTCTTACAGTTCCTGTGGGCAGCCTCAGTCTAAGTCTCAACTTTGAAAGGTAAAAAACTCAGACACAAACACACAAATTATTAATTACTTTTTACTGTTTTTCCATTGAATCTCACACCCTTTTTTTTTCTTTTCTTTTGTTTTAATCTCAACTATTTCAGCAAAGAATGTGATTTTCCGACCAATTCTGCCATGGGTTTCCCTTTATGTCTCCAACAGTACAAGGAGGATGCAAGAAAAAGTGCTGTAATTTCCAATAACCAACAGGTTTGTTTCTCAAAATCTACCATCTCAGCAGACAAAATGTTAAAATCTTTCAATTTTGCTAATTAATTAAAACCCGTTTGATCGCTATTTTGTTTTTAGTTTTGTCGTTGAAAAGTAAGCCTAAAACCACTATTTCTCGTCCTTTTATCGACTTTTATCCAAGCTAAATTTTGAAAACAAAAAGGAGTAGTTTCCAAAAACTTGTGAAAGACATGCTAAAACAAGCATAATTAGCATAATAATGGGGTTTAAAGTTTAATATTTGATGTGTTTCTCTTAAACAGGATGATCAGTGGCTAAGTTCAACACAAAAAGGAGTAAACTTTGTAGATAAATCTACAAACTTTTCTCCTCCTTCAGATTTCTGCCACCATTTTCTTAGCCCCAAACACAAACAGTCCCCAAAAGAGTACCAATTCTGGGCCACAGAAGAGAAAGAGGCAGAACAAAACGGTGTCGTTTCAAAGCCAGAACTCCTCTCAAACCCCAACTCAAGCCCCAACTCAGCCTCCTCAAGTGAAGTGGAAGAGGACAACTCAGGGGATCCCCAAAACCATCACTTGAAAGAATTCAATCCCCAAAACTTGAAGCTAATTTCTGAAGTACTTCTAAAAACAGTCCCAAATTGCCCAAAACACAAGGCCTCTGAAATCTCAGCCACAATCCTCCATTGCAGGTCACAGAGAAGCCAAAAGCAGCAGCAAAGTTGCAGCCTTTTGTTCATGGGCAATGAGCAGAAGCAAGAGGCCAAGGAGAGGACTGCAAGGGAATTGGCCAAGCTCTTCTTTGGGTCACAGACAAGGGTGATTTCCATTGGATTGAGCAGCTTCAAAGATGAGGAATTTGGGAAGAAGAGGGGGAGAAATGAAATGGGGTGCAGTTATTTGCAGAGATTTGCAGAGGCAGTGAATGAAAATCCCCATAGAGTGTTCTTGATGGAAGAATTTGAGCAAATTGATTACTGTTCCTTGAAGGGTCTGAAAGAGGCAATTGAAAAGGGGAGGGTGAGGCTTGCAGATGGAGAGCTTTGCCCTTTGAAAGATGCCATTGTCATCTTCAATGGAGAAAGGCAGATTGTAAAACAGGAACTGAAGAATGAAGAAGAAGAAGAAGAAGAAGAAGAAGAAAATGAAGAAGAAAACAGAGGATTTGTTTCACTGGATTTGAACATAGCCATTGTTGAAGATGGAAATGGGGACAGAATCAGATCAATTGTGGAATGTGTGGATGGGAAAATTTTATTTTCATAGTTAAACAGCTTTGATTTTTAGAGTTTTTCTTCTTCAATGGTGGGTGGGTGACACTTTTTTTTTTTGGGTGGGGGAAAAAATCTCTTGTTTGATAGGGAGGGATGGAGGGGTTGGGTGATAGTTTTTTTTTTGGGGGTTTTTTTTTCTTTTTCTTATGAGCACTTTTTGAGAATGGGAAATGTAGAATTTGGGAGTAGTTTAGTCGTAGGAATGTAAATGTGTAAATTAATGCATATCTCTGTTGGGGTTTTCAATTATATGTTAGCTTGATCCGGTTGGGTAATGTTTTTGCTTCTTGTTTCTATTTTTTCATTTTAAATGAAGAAAAATAAAATTGCATATCTCTAACACTCGTAGATTTAAGAATGATAAAATAATATTTTTATTTATGTTTTGGAACAAGTTGAGAATGAGAATAAGAAACAAAAAAATTGTTTTTGTTGTTTTCAAGATTTCTATACAATTTTGGGAATCTTTAAAAAATGAGAAGCAAGAAACATAAATAGTTTCTAAAATGCTTAGGTTTCTCAATAAAATTAGAAATGAGAAATAAAAACGAAAATGTTATCAAACGGGTTCTAATGACTTTCTTTATACCATTTTTCTTAGATGAGAAGGGTTTTTAACGGATTAATCTAAACATAGTTCAATTATTTAAGATATGTATCTCTGACTAAAAGATCGGAGATTCAAATCTTCATCTTCATATATTGTTGCACTAGAAAAAGAATTTTAATTGAAGTGCTTATGCCTCTGTTCGAAGACGATAATGAAAATTTAAACTAAATTATTCAAGAGAGATATAATAATTTTGTTGAACAAAAGAAATGATAATGTGTTATGATCCAAAGGCTTGAAGTGTTAGCATAATGGCGACGTGATTCCTTTTGCATGGGAAGCATGGCAATGGCAAGACAACAACAAAAAAGGGTAATGTTCTGTAAGAAACTCATTTTAATAAGCTGTTATTTTCTAACATAATCAAATCTCATTCACATGGGCAAAAAATAAAATAATAATAATAATAAAAAATAAATAATTGAAGACTAGTATCCTATTTTATAGTAACATGTCATTTAGATGAGTCATTTATCGTACATTGAAATATATACGACTCGAAATGTGACAAAATTACTTTCTCTCGCTACCTTAAATGTGGTGGGTTTTGTGCCAAAACGAGCATAGCTCAGCGGTAATTGACATATATCTCCAATCAAGAGGATGTGAGTTCGATTCTCACCCCAACCTATTGGATTTAGTCCGAGAATCTGGTGATAAAAAAATTTATTTGGGTGTTTTGAATTTTCTAATTATCTGTTATATTTCACTTTTATAATAGCCATTATTTTACTCCTAGCTTATATTTCATCAAGTTCCTTTTTTTTAGAGTACAAAGTATTTGATTTTCTCTTATTCTATTTTCTACTAATATAATTTTGTGCTCCTACTCACCTTGAGGATTTAGAAGTATTATAATAAGTTTGGTAATCAAGATTAATTAGATCATAATATTATCTAAATACCTTTCAATTAATTTCTAACACCATTTTTTCTTTGATTCCATTTTTCATTGTTATTTGGAGAAGTATTCAAATATTCTATCATGATGAAACCTTATCATAGAATAAATTTTCTAAGAAGCTTTTATCACATTCGGATTCTTAAAAAAAGTTAAATGAAAGAAGACAAAGAAATGACTATAATATATAATATATAATATATAGTATGTGATATTATTAACAACTAGGATATAGGATAAATCAAGTTAGGAGTAAGGAAATAAGAAATTTCATTGTAAATTTATTTTTTTAATATTAAAGAAGTTATAAAATATAATATTTTCTTTGTAGCCCATCTCTATATATCACTAAACTAACTGACTAGATTATTATAGTCTATTTATTTTAAATCATTAATTTACATAATCGATTATTGGTTTTGAAAAAAGAAATGTTGATATGCTATACAACAATGAAAATAATATTGCTTTGCTATGCTACAACAACGTCGTTTTTAGTTAGTGCTTAAAATGAGTCATCAAACGGCAGCGTCTTCGACTGCGACATAATTTTATTTCATTATAAATACTAAAAAATAAATACATACCTGTTAAGGATCCCACATTGATAGATATGGACTAATCCTCTCATTGCCAATTGGTTTTGAGATGAAACCCATGAATATTAATAATACCATATTTTGTTTATTTGCAATGTTTATGTATTTTGTCGCAGAACTTGGATGTAATCCTTTTACCTCCTCGCATCATATTTAAGACATTACATTTTCACACTACAATTTTTATGCAGTTATATAAATTAGAAGCGTCGTTGCTGTGCAAAACCGTCACAAGGGTTCATGTACAAGGAACAGTCAAACCCTTATGGGTTATATCCGAATACATAGAAAGGGATGTTTTTATGTGGAGCCCAAACTCATGGAATTATTAATCTTGTAGCAATTGAATAAAAAATAACAGGGATTTCACGCAAAAATCCAAAATTTGATATTTTATCTTCTCACCGAGGGTTAATAAAATATTTTCTATTACCACTTATACTAATTTTCGTCTCATAAAGTTAAATTTGTCGCATAATTATAGTCCTAATCTAAGAAGCAAGTTGGTACAAAAAATATTGAAAAGGAACACAAAAAGTTACTGTTGATCCCACTTTTTCCAAAATGGAAAAGGATGAAATTGAATTTCTTTATAATATAAATACATATCTATAATTTTGAAATCTCTCTCAACTTTGAAAAGTAATGGCGCGGATGATTAGGAATCTAAAAGTACAAAAAAGAAAAAAAAACATGAAAAAGAATTAAGAAGCATCCAAATCTTTATTTCATAAAGATATTCTTACTTTTACAATCACAAAAGGAATAATAAATGCTTATTATTATACCCTTAATTTCACTCTTTTATTTCAAATTTTTATAGAATGGATTAACCATTATTATTCATCAGCTCAATTAAATATATATATATATATATATATATATATAAAAACCTAAATTTTAAGGCTAGTTTGGTATTGTTTTTGGTTATTTATTTCCATTGAAAAAAAAAGATACATGTTTTGTAACTCTTTTCTTGTTTCTAGTCCTCTGTAATTTTAAATTTTAAAAAACTTTATTTTTTAATTAAATATTCAAAATTTTACATTTTATTTATTTTTAAATATTATAATAAAATAATACTTTTATTTATGTTTTGAAGAAAAAAACATAAACAAAAAACAAGAAACAAAAGCTTACATTTTAAAAAAATTAGAAATAATAAACAGGAATGTTATCAAACAAAACCTAATTCTATTTAGCCCGATCCAAAAAGTGAAAGCAAAAGAAAAAAGAATTGAGGTCTATAGTGACAATAGGGAGCGATATTGACTGATATCGTTTATTATTTAGGTTCAAATTAGGAGTTTTCTTTTTTCTTTTTTTTTCTTTTTGTAAAGATTAAGAAAAAAAAGGATGAGAAAGAAAAAAAAAAAGAGTTTGGGCTCTCAAAAATTGAGAAAGTTTGATTGTTTTGGAAGGTTAAAATATGCCTTCCTCTGCCAACAAGAAACCCAAACTAAAGCAATACATCAAAGTGAGAAAGTTCAATTAAAGAATTATAGAGTCAATAAAACATTGGGATGGCTTCTTCCTCATGCTATATATATTTTTATATCTATTAATTTATAAATAATATCAAAATAAAAACCATTATAAAGAGAAAAAAAAAAGTGTTCAAATTTGTCAAATAAAGACAGGACCTCGAGCTATGTTCCCATTAGAGAATAAAGGACAAAATTCTCTCTCTCTTCTCTTCTAGCCTTTAGTTCTAATTCCTAAATCTTTCTTAAAAGAATAATAGGGTCTTAATTACATTTATAAAATGCTGTTTGTGGTTAATTACTTACCTCATTAATTAGAAGTCAAACCCTACTTCTCAAAAAAGTTTTAGTGGGTAGATGAGAACAAAAAGGGAAAAAAATAAAATAGGAGTCATCAAAATGTCTTGTTGAGAGTTTGAAATTGGGACCCAAAAAGAAAAATGAAAAAACTATATATATAAATAATGTTACTCTTCAAAAATTATATAATTACATTGTCACATCAAAACTACACCTTGTAGCAAATAGAATGTCTTAAAAAAAGAAAAAAGAAAAAAATACATATAAATATATAAATAGCCAGAAAACTCAATATTTGACTATGGGTTGGACGTATATCTAAACTTAATTCAGTAAATAATAATTCCTGCTTGAAAAATAAATGGATAGTAAGTTGAATCCACTAGAGAGTTTTTTTTTCTTTTTCTTTTTTGAGTACAATATGTGGGAATGAGAGATCGTACATACCAATTACCACGAAACAATACCCACTTTTGATAAGAAAGAAGAGACAATGCGTAATAATCCCACCATATTTTAAGTAGTAATTTTTTATTGAACATTGATTCAGAGATTTTATTTTTTCGAAAGCATCGATTTTACCAATCACATGAGGTTATTGTATCCCATCTCTAAACTCACTAATAAACCAAACATTGATCATATAATAAAATCCATTCATGCACAAACAAAATTTACCATATGTATAATAATATGTGGTTTTTATTATCCCAAAGTCTAAAGTTCAAACTTAAAGATCTAAGTCAGTATGACCAAAATACCCCAACTGCCTCTTCGGAGCTCTTATACATTTACTTTTACAAATTATAAATATATGACGACAAACCAAATATGAGCTACAATATAATGAAGCTCGTTCATGCAAATCCTGAACATATACCATACAATAAATTCAAACTCTCTAGCTTTTAACTAAAAAGAACCAACCAACACACTGACCACACATAAATTCATTCATACAAAGAAATTTTATTAATTTACTTCTCTCAATCCCATGAATTACACAAACCTAAAGTTATTAATATGTCATAACCCATCTTATTTTCACGAACAGATTACAAACACCCACAAAGTCGTACAGACCAAGTACCGACAAGACAACATCGAAAGTCCAAAACTCATCCGTGAAAATCCCAGAGCATATGTTATACAACAAACCAGACATTCTAATGAACCACTCTAATAATACATCCAATCATAAGACAGTTGGTGGCATAAATTGACAGACAGTAAAACTCTGAAAATGGACACATGGGTAATCTTTAAAGGTAAAAAAATTAGTTTGATGGCAAACCCAAGGAATGGGACCATGAGTTGAAAGTTGGTTTAGGATGAGAGATGAAAAGAAACATATAGTAATGAAGGAATTAAAGCAAAATGGATATATTTGGGGGAGGAAAAATGATTGATTATTGGATTGGACATCGATCCCGAGGAGCAAAGGATTCTTTTGGAGAAATGATGATGGGATGGATCGATCGGATCCATGGGATCTTAAAATATACGATCTAGAAAACGATCATTGCAGAGTTTACAAAAAGAAAAAGGAAAGTAGGCATGAAGGAGAGTGTCTGGTTTCTATTCTTTTGAGGATGTCCTTAAAAGCATTCAAAATGCAAATAATTTCCAAAGGGGTGGTATTGCTTTTTTCTAGCTTTTCTCTGCAATTCTGTCTCACTGGAGAGGAAACCCATCTCATGCATCTCTGAAGAACTCTGCCAACTTAAAACAAACAATGGTGGGTTGGGTTCTAGAGAGAGAAACAGAAGAAAGATTATTAAAGGAGTGGCGATGGGAGAGAGAGAGAGCGAGAGAGAGAGAGAGAGAGAGAGACAAAGTTTCCACACAGCCTGAGCTTTTGCAGTGTCTTTAGGAGAAGAAAGGTAAAGCTAAATTGTGCAGCGTTTTTTATAAACGCCAGCCCCTCCAATTAAAGCACTTTCTTTTCTGCTTTATGAGTGTGAACTTTGCATGAAAGTAAGGGATTTCTTGGATCTCCCACCCCTTTCAATAATCACTGAATAATTAACCATCTTTCTTCTCTCTCTCTCTCTCTCTCTCTCTCTCTCTCTCTCTCTCTCTACAGGATTTGAACACAGCTAGGCTAAGTTTTAAAGGCAAAGGAGGGGTAGAGAGAGAGAGAGAGGTGGGTTGGTTTAAAGGGGGAAAGGAAAGGAGGAGGAGACTGTGGAAGACCAGTCAAAAGAAGGATGAAGTATGAAAGTTAACAAGAATAAATTTACGAGTGATCCAATGCTACCATCATGTTGTTTTCAATCATTGTTTGGTCGCTATCTTTTATTCATCCCACTTTGTTTTCTTGCTTTCTTTCCCTTCCAAAAGAATAAATGAAATAAAGTAAAGTAAATATTACCTAACCAATCAACGGCAAAAGATTCTTGGGTACTCCCATTGTACCATTTATACTACTTCCATTAACATTTAGTTGAAAAAATGGCATCAGATTCTTCTCCAAGAGAGGCAGTAAAAAAATACAAAGAGGAAATGGTAAAAAAAGATACCTGATTCACCTGTTATTAGCATTTGGTAAATAATTGATTAGCTACTGAACGTGCAAATATATAGAAACATGATAATTCTGCACTGTTGACTAATAATTAATTGTCATGTAATAACAGTGAGGTAACAAATAACAAGACAGTCATAATAATGAACATTAATAGAGAAGTAAAGACAAAATGATACAGGCAAAAAAAAAAACGTGTCAACTAGTTTAGTTAGTGACAAACTATTACTAATAAATATTATATCTTCTTTAACTATATGTTATTTTAACAATATAAATACTACAAATGAGAAAAGAGGATTGAAATCTATAAACTCTAAGAGAAGACGCCGGTACCCCAGTCATTTAAACTATTCTCAGATCACTACCTAGAGACATGCTAAAAACCTAGACCTACCCGACTATAACTATTTTAAACTTTAGGTAGTGGAGTATGGATGATTTAATCCAAACCATATATACCTTTTTTTTTCCACTGAAGTTCAAAAATTGGAAGTTTCACATTCACATCTACGAGTTTCAACCATGAAATTGTTAAGGATTTGATGACTGCTGTCCCAATGGAGTTGCAATATCCTATAAAAGAGATTTATAAGAAGGATTTAAGAGTCAATACCAACTAATACGAAGGTGTACTCAGTCAATTATTTTGAACAAACAGAACAATTTTTTTATTCGAAGATCATTGTATTGAAGGAAGGTAGCAACAACCTTTATTGCCTTTGTTCTTTAAAGTTTGCTCTAGTGGCTTTTGTCTTCTCTTATATTGAAGATTCCACATCGTACAACTTCGACTTTCAACATCTATTGATCGATAGAGAAATTCCTGATATATCTTTTCTACTTTCTTTGTTGGATAAGTTTCATTGTCACGATAGGGTTATGATGGAAGCCCTCCCTTTTATGTTATCTTCATCCTCTTGTCCTCTCACCATTTCAATATGTTGTTGGGTTCACATTGGTGCGTGTTATGTATAAGAGTACTTGTCATAGAGAATGTCATCTAAAGTTTGAATGGTGCCTAATAGATCTCGTCATTCAATGATGAAGGTGTTGTTCCATCTGCTGCTGTTCTTGAGACAAGAAGAATTCTTCGGTGTGCAACTCGAGAAAAATGTGTACTTTTTAGAAGGCTTGAAAGCCCAAAGGGCAAGGTGTGGGCTATGACTAAGTTTTGTGACCCCCTAAGGTGTTGGCATCTATTTTTTACTCTCTACCTATCAGTCACAACAACTGAAACTGAAGCCCATTTTAGGTTGTCTCCTATATATGGGCTCCTTTGGAAGTGGGCTTTTGTTTTCCATGAATATTTTTCATTTTTCTTTCAAAAAGCAACCTACAAGACCCATAAAAATAGAACCATCATTCCAGTATGAATAACATCAACACCATATGGGAATTGGGAAGTATATTGAGCTTCTCTGGGTTGTTCCAGATGAAACCAACTAGAAATT